ATTGTATTTTTCTATGTTTCCCTATATCAAAGTTTACTCAGTAGAAAAACAGTTTAGTGGTTACAAGGTTTAGGACATCAAGAGCGGCTGAGGCAACAGTATGAGGTCCTCTCTTTGTGATAGATGCTGAATCACCATGACACCGCAAGTCAACCAAAAGAAACTGTCAACAACAAGAATCACAAGATTACTTTTACATTTACATTTAAACTGCATAAAAGAACTGGAGCAGAAAACTATTTACTGTTACTTATGGCTTTGATAATATGTATGTCAGAAATTTTCAAAATTAAAAACAGGATGGAGATCGACTTGCCTGCCAGTTTGGAAATTCCTGTGCTAATCTCCGAGCAAAGGTTCCTAATGTATCAGCCATGGTAAAACTACTAAATCATAGAGTTTATCCCACAAAAACCAAAAAAACTACACCAAATATAATTACTATTTCTTCTATGGCACTCTTCTAAATTAAGAAAAGAAACAAGGATATAAATGTAAAAAGAAAATTAATTAATTAATTAATATAACTGCAGATATGTACACAATAACCATAATAGCAGAAAAAGAAAACTAGTCACTACTCTCACACATACATGTTAGGGCTAAATGCAAGAAATTGGCATTTATTTGTTTAATACAACATCATACTTTCATTTCTTTCTATTACAACATTATACTTTAAAAAATCTACCCAGTTATAGCATATTAGTTAATCATAGCAGTGAAGAGTACTTTGTATTTGGATGGCAGTTTTAGATATTTCAAAATAGAAGAAAAAAAAAATGAAAAACATGAGCATTTAGTACAGCACAGCACGTACCCCAGTTCTTCCTGCTACCTAAAATGCCATGCAAAAGAACAGCTGTTGGGGGACAAGGTAGTGTTTTGTCTGCAATGTAACTCCATCTAACCTGCACAGATCAAACACAAAGAAACTCAACACACCAAATACCAATGCTTCACATCAAATTTATGTTAAGGATAATCAATCCACTTCTTAATGCAAATGTAGCTTATATCATATGATTTTGTGCTTGAATATATAAAGCTTCATTACGATTAGGTGTAAGGATGGTTGATGATTTATATTTTTTGTATTATTAATCATGTTTAACTGCAATTGGATTTGATTTCATGGTTTGTATTGATTTGGTGGAATGGAAATCCCTTGAGGTGATTTTCCTTGAAAATCCTCAAATTCAGTTATATATTATTAGTGTGCAAATTCAATGACATTTTTCCATAATTACAACATTGAGGATACAACTTACAAGAGGTCCTTGAACAAGATCATATGCCTGCAAACAGATGAAGCACTAGTGTTAGTACTAGCACATGCAACATAAACCCTGTGCAAAGTGTGCAAATTGATTCTTCCACATTACCAATATATCAGAGGGCTTGATAATGACTTTCCCTCTACCAAGACTCTCATCTAATAATGTCATCTGAATTTTTGGCTTTGTAGATGACAGTTGGATGCACAATGTCCGTGTCCCACCCTACAACTAGGAAAAACAAGTTATGTATCCCCATAGCTATGGATAGTACTATGACCACATCTATATCAATGGTAATAACATACAAATCATACAGTTACTATGCACATATAAACCACCATATAAGTCCTTAGTCCCAAACTGAAGTGACTATGGAGTGTAAACTAGAAAGTTTGGTTAATTCAGACAATCAGACAATAAAAATATCTTCTCCATGTCCTTATAACAGAATGTCAATGCCATGCTTATCTTCTTGTGATTTTACTTGAATCCTCATCAATGTACTAAGTTCTTTTACATTGAATTCTAGTCTAGTTTCACTCTCTTTGATCAAGCCAACTATATTAGGTTTGCACTGGAAACCAGATTCCATGATCCCCTTGAGGTACTTTCTTAAACTTTTCTGCATGTCCCATAGAACATCTCACTGCTATTTGATCCTTACAAAATTTGACCATGTCATAAGGAAGATTGCATTATCGCTTTTCCAACTAAACCAAAACCATTTCACCCATGAATTTACAACAGAAAGTTTTAAGAAATTGAAATTTATTGAGGTAAATTAGTAAATATTTCATATCTGTTTCTTTATTGGTACTAGGTTTTCGATATGAAGTGTATCACCTTCGTTGATAAAAATAAGTATTGTTTCAACGAGTAATACAAAGGATAGTTTGCGTCAGCCATAGAAACAAACAACTTCTACATGTACTATAGCTAAAACATTGAGAAAAATAATATGAAATTTTGGTTCATCTCATGATGGTTGATTATTAGAGCGGAGTACCTGAGAAAGCCTTGATATCTTTGGCATTTTGCAATTAATCACTGGAAAGGGCTTGAAACTTGACCTAATTCCAACCGATGACGTCTCGCTGTGTTGATGGCAAACTAAAAAATTCAAAGCCGCCGCCGCCGCCATTTCAAATGATCATATGCTGATTGAAGAAAGTTGCTTCTTTCTGATATCCGATGAATAGACAAGAATGCACAGGGAAAGTCGAATTGACGGAGGAAACAATGAGAGTTTTTATATGCAGTAATGAAGAGGGTGATGGAGAAGGCGGACGGAGGTACCGAAGAGGGACCTGGAGGTGACGGCTGAGTATGTGGCTGCAGTCCACCGCCCACGTTTTCTCGCGCGTCACTACGAGTCGCAGTTGGCACAAAAAAATGTGAAGGACCGTCATATTCTTAAGTACCGTAACTCCATGTTCCCAGTTTTCTTGTAAATTAAGGGAAGAAAAATCGAGATAAAAAAAGAAAAGCAAAATTTTCTTTATTTTGGTGATCTAAGTTCGAAGAAAATAGAAAGAAATGAAAGGAAATTTTAAGTTCTTATTATTATTTTGCATATTTAATCTTTTGGTTCATATGCATATATATGTATATGCATTGTCATAAACATGATAATGAATATTCATGTTTTTAAATATATGATAATCCATATTCATATTCATCGGCATAACTCAGTGCTATCCACCAACAATTTAAACATTTATCGTAAGAAGGTTTTTAAAGCAATTGTACCAATAAACAAAATTTACATTTCATGTTTCACAAAATTTTTAACTTCTGGTATAAAAATTTTGGTATTATTTATAAACATTTGCAAATGTATTATCGTAAATCTTACTATGAATATTCATCGTCACAAATCTTCATTAATGGGAGTAATAAAATGGGAGTACAAATTCAGTTAACTGAAGAATTAAGAAATTTACACCCAACACATTTTCTTAATTATATCATTCATAAAACACAAGGTAATGCATATCGTTTTCTCTCTTCTCTTGACGAAACTGAAAGGGATAATGAGTTGATAGGGTAAGATACTTTTTGAAATGTACACATTTAGTCCTTATTCTTTTTTATTGTAAAATAAACCCTTAGACTTTATTAATATATACACATTAGATCATTTTCACTGGATTCTACAGGTTTTACTGACGTGGAAGGGTTTATTTTACAAAAAACAAAAGAATAAGGACTAAATATGTACATTTCAAAAAGTATCTTACCCTATCAAGTCATTTTCCCTTTCTTTTATTTTGTTGAAATGAAATACCCAGGTGGCATCCACATATCCACAACGAGATTTTTCCAACTTTTATTCATCATGAAAAAGAGGGAGAACCCCAATCTCCGGCGACTCCTTTGTGTGTTCCTACACATCACTGGTAGCAAGGAGGAATGATGGCAAAAACAATAAGGTCGAAGGGGGAGGCAGGAGGAAGTAAAGACAGTAGTTAGCGGCGAGGAGCTACTCTGGTAGCCCCCTCGTCGATTCTTTCTTCTTTTTCTGGCAACATATCTCAAAGATGGAGGCAAAGAGAGACAGATCGGAGAAACACAACAGATAAAGGGTGTTTGGTTGTTATTGTTCGACCGGAAGAAAGAGAGACGAGAAAGAGAAGGGTCGCCACCCTTTTCTTGTTGCTGGAGGATCACCCACCTCCGGTGACTAAGCTAATTAATTGCTATTTAGTGCCATTTGTGCTTCTACATCAGCAAAACCTGTAGAATCCGATGAAAATGACCTAATATGTACATATTAATAAAGTATAAGGGTTTATTTTACAAAAAAAAAAAAAAGAATAAGGACTAAATGTGTACATTTCAAAAAGTATCTTACCCTATCAAGTCATTTTCCCAAACTGAAACAATGATGATAACTACTACTGATGCTATGGAAACATTTAAAAATGTATTAAATCGGCTTATTCAAGAATTTATAGGAAAACAAATAGAGGATAAAACATCTCAGGGAGCTTTTCAATTAGAATCATTATGGCATTTAACAAACTTACAAATTTGTAACATGTGTTATTTAGACCCATTTATATGTGAATATTCTGAACATTATTATAATCTAGATTTCACTAGAAAAAAAAAAAAAAGATAGCATTAGACATGTTTTACCAAAAATTACCATCATTAGTAAGTCAAAGTATAATAAAAGATTTCCAAGAAGCGTTACACCAAAATAAAATTGAAGATACTTTAGGAGCACAAATAAGTATATTAAAAGTATGGATGCACAAAAAATGTCTAGAACAAAAAACAACACAAGATGTAAAATTGATTTATGTTGTGACACCCTTTCTAATAAAGTTAATCAATATGGTTGTAAAGATAATAAAAAACAACAATATAAAAAGAAAACTTGGAAAAAACAAACTTATAAACCTAAATATAAACAATATCATAAACAAGGAGAAAGAAAATATTTTCGACATAGAAAACAATATAAACAAAAATATCAATCTAAAACAAATTATTGCCCATCAAATAAAAAAGATTGTAAATGTTGGATATGTCAAGAAGACGGACATAAAGCTTATGAATGTCCAAAAAAGACAAAAAGGGAAAAAGAAGCAAATTTATTAAAATTTGCATATGATCTGGGATATGAACCTATAGAAGATTCAGATATAGATTTAGACATAGATATTTATGCATATACAACTGATTCTGATTCAGATGTAGATAAATAATCCTATGGAGAAAGCATTATTGGGATTAGAACGTGAGGGAAACCTCATATCTAACCCATCCAAAGTATACATTGCTAAAGCATACATTGGTATGAAAATACCATTCGAAGTAAACAATGATAAAGTATACAATGATATGAAAATATCACCAAAGCATACATTGATATGAAAATTTTCATATCATCATTTGAAATATTAAAAGAAAACAAATATAAGCAATCATTCAGGTACTCAAGAGGCATAAACATTCAGACATCAGACATATCGGTATGGAAGCAATCATGAAGCAAATACAACAACAACTCAAACAAAAGCAGGAGCAAAAAGCATCATTAATGAAACAACTTGAAGTAGTCAATCGAGAACTCGAAGTAGTCAATCGTGAAGAAGAACAACTAAAACATACATTACAAATTTTATCAGCCTATTCAGCACCCAAAGAAGAAGCAGCTAGCAACTCAACAACAAAGCAACCAAATGAAGAAATTCGAGAAATATCATCCGACGATAGTCCACCACATACAATACCTAAAATAGAAAACAACCTCTCACATCCAATCCAGAGGAGTATCCACCACTTCAAGCAGATCATAAAAACATAAAGAAATGGTATGTGATATTCAACGGAGAAAACAAATGAATCTACGACAACTGGGGAATCGTCAAATTCGTATATTCTTGGAAAAAATGTCATTCATAAAAGCTACAAAACAAAAAATGAAGCAGAAGCTGCATACAACGAAGCATACAAAGCAGCAATAAGAGATAATGTCGAATGTTCAAAAACAGTCCTTCTTGCACCTCAAAAACCCATATCTATTTCCACCACACAAAAACCTGTATCCATCCCAAAATATCTTAATCAACTACATGCCAGAAGTGCCCTTGAAGCCATTCCATCAACCAAAGAAAAAGAAGCCATGAAAAAACCAACTACCCAAAAATTTGCTAAACTATGGGATAGTCTTGTCTCATACACAGAAGTTCATTATTTAATGGGTTTCTACCCAGTAGCCAGGCGCCCAGGCCCCAAAGCAGTCTTCCTAGCCGATTTATTCGATCCTATGACTTTATGGGATTATTTTATTTAATGGATTTATCAATACCATCTACTTAGAAGGAACCAATCTCCAATGCATCAGCGAGTTTCCATCAGGTGTACAAACCGTAATAAGAAATTATAAGACACGCTTCGCCAAACAAGAACGAGGATTGTAACAACGAAATTTTCAAGACAAAATTTTCGTTTAAAATAATCATTTTAATATTAAAACACTTGTTTAAAATCCCATACATAATTGAATTACAAAACATAGTTTCATTTTCACTTGAATAGAAAACCAAGATCCCCCAACATATAACTCTTTCTCTGGTGTGTACAATCGAGCCGGTGCCGTCCCGTGTTACTGAAAGAACCTGAAAACAACATAACACAAAACACTGTAAGCAAGAAGCTTAGTGAGTTCCCCAAAATACATCTTACGCATATATGCCTTTCCAGGCCCTGACCTTCCGGTCCACAACACAGCGCCTTCCGGCCTGTAGTACAATCGCCTTCCGGCCCATAACATATTGCCTTCCGGCCCATAAACATACACAGCACGCATAACAATTAACTCACCACATATAGCACATATATTACATAACATACCCGACCTTCCGGTCACATAAAATATTGCCTTCCGGTCCATAACATATTGCCTTCCGGCCCATATAAACACACATAGCACGCATAGCAATTATCTTACCACATATAGCACGTATATCACATATCATATCCGACCTTTCGGTCACACAGTCAAACCCTTCC